AAATCCTCAGCGACCTGCGAGGACGGAGAAACGTCGTGGTCGGGGGCGACTTCAACGCATGGGCCCAGGAATGGGGGTCCTCCTGAACCAATGCCAGAGGCCGCAGGATCACTCTCAGGAATGCTGTTGAACACCAGGGGCCCAAAGCAGGCAACGCTGCTGACGAGCGTCGTGGCGTCGCAAATGCTCTACGCCGCGCCACTGTGGGCGGATGCAGCGAAGGTAAAAAGCTTTATGGGCTGGAGGCTGGAGGCCACGTATAGGAAATGCGCCATCAGGATCGCGTGCTCGTTCCGGACCATCTCGGACGAAGCAGCGCTGGTCATCCCCGAGAAAATTCCTTTCGGGAAGTTGATACGGAAGAGGGAGAGGATATACGACGCCACTAAGGACAGAGAAGCGGCTCACATCAAGGCCGAGCTGAAGGTTGCCGCCAGGAGGAGCAGCTTGAAGAACTGGCAGACACGGTGGGACAGCTCACAAAAAGGGCGCTGGACGCAAACCCTCATCCCGCACATAGCGAGTTGGGTTGAGCGGAAGCACGGACAGTTAGACTTCTACCTCACCCAGGCTCTGAGCGGGCATGGCTGCTTCCGCAGTTACCTCAAGCGCTTCGGCCGCGATACGGAGGATTGGTGCCCAAAGTGTGGTTTTCGCTTGTCACCGTTGCTGTTCGTTGTTGTTCTTGTGTTGATTTCGTTAGCGCGCTTGCGGCAACAATCGTCAAATTGCTCGATACCCTATAGTTGTCAGGTTTTAGAGCTCGTTTCGGGCCCAGCATACAAAAACGCCAACACAGACCTACACACCTACCTACACACATCCAGACACTCATAGTTTCAGCGGTGAATACTTGTTTTTCGCTTTTCAACGTTGCTGTTCGTTGCTGGTAGTGGGTTATTATTATTATTATTATTACTGCAATGCGAAAGACTATTTGTTGACTTGCAGTCCATTTGCTAGGCTTGCAGTAATGCAAAGGTTCGAATTTGTCAAATCGGCATCGCTCTGCGTCAACTGTCTGCAACAAGGACACACTGTGGTACGATGCAAAGCTAGCAAGTGTCGAGCGTGTGGCCGCTCACATCATGTATTGCAGATTCGTAGGGAGGAGTCGTGTATCAACTTGCTTGGAATTGGCGAATTGAATTCAATTCACAAGTCAAGAAGAAGATACACAAGTCGCGGATCAATGGTAGAGAGCTCTCGGTCGATTTCTGGATTCTGAAGTCAAAAACCCTGATCACGCACTTAATGTGAGTGACTGGAAAACCTTAAGTATCTACATCTTGAAGACCCATATTTCTACAAGCCACAAAGAAAAGATATGTTGCTAGGTACAAAGTCATTTTTTGAACTCTTATCGGTTGGTCAAATTAGACAAGTTCCTGACTATCACACTCTGCAGAGTGTCTATCGACAAAAAACTAGAAAAGTTTTGTTCACTAGAAGAATTGCCGTCTTCTAAACAGTCTTTATCTCCTAGAAAGCCTTCAGGTCGGTTTGAAGTAAAACTGCCGTTAAGATCAGATCCTAGTATCAGAGGCAACTCATTTGAGTTTGCCAAACGGCGATTTATGTCGCTTCAAAAAAGGTTGTCTCGTGACCCTAGGTTGCAACAGATTTACTTGAAATTCATGGCAGAGTACCTTTCCTTAGTTCACATATCTCCCACAGACAATTCAATCCCTGAAATATACCACATGAGTGTTTGTTGAGGCCCCTGAGTACGTCGACTAAGCTCGACATCGTTTTCGATGCATCGTACAAAACGACGTCTCAGGTGGCCTTGAACGATACGTTGATGGTCGGTCCAACAAAACACGGTGAGCTGTATGCGAATTTACTCCGATTCAGACCACACAGGCACGCCTTGACAGCCGATTTCCAGAAGACGTATCGCCAAGTCTAGATTAAGCGGATACGCTATATCAGCTCATAGTGTGGAGACCCCTCTGAGTCTTTGAGAATATATCAGCTCAACACTGTAACATATGGGACTCGACCTGCCCCAGTTTTGGCTATTCAGTGTTTGAAGAGGTTCAGTGATTCTGCAAAGCTCTCATTCCTAAAGGCTGCTGAACTTATCGGGTCCGACTTTCATGTCGATAATATGTTGAATGGTGCTGGTTGCATAGAGGATCTAAAGACAATGAAGTCTGACGTTGCTCAGGTTCTTCAAACCGCAGGGTTTGAGCTAACCAAGTGGTTCTCGAACTCGCCTGAGGTCACAGCATCCGAGAGCACAGTTAAACCGATAACGATCCCGGACTCCGAGTCAGCCAAGGCGTTAGGAATATCGTGGATACCTCACGAGGACGTCTTTAAGTTCCAAATTGACAGTTCAGTCAGGAGTCTCCGAGCGACAAAATGGAATATATTATCGGTAACCCTTCATTATCAAGGGCAAGATCTTACTGCAGGAGCTGTGGCTTAATTAACTAGATTGGGATGAGTCAAATCCAATGAATCTGGCACCAGCATGGAACTTATTAAAAGTATCCTCCTTGGGTCAGCTGGAGAAGATTGCCATACCTCGATTTGTACATACCGATCCCATGTCACCGATCCAAGAACATGCCGACGCCTCCATGAGAGCTTATGGAGAATGCGTATATATCCGTAGTAAGACTACAGATGGTTTCAAGGTCTCGTTGTTGACTGCAAAGTGGAAAGTAGCGCCGCTCAAGACGAAAACTCTTGTGAGAGTGTGCCGCTCACCTTCTCGCAGATATCTGTCACCGACTCGAGGGGCCGATTGAACGAATGGTATGTTGGTCGGATTCGGAAGTGACCCTTCATTGGATCCGATCCCACCCTTCGTCGTTATCAACATTCGTTGCGAACCGAGTAGCTGAGATTCTGGAGTGGTCTAAACAGAACCCAGCAGACATAGTTTAGAGAGGTTGTGACATTCAGGAGATTTCGCAGTCGATCTGGTTTAGTGGACCAGCGTTTTTGAAGGAAGAAGAAGAGAGCTGGCCCAGAAACCCCCACCTCGAGCTTTCCGAGGAAGAGCTGAAGCTGAAAACCAGGAAGACAACGGCCGGACTGACCGTGACCTTAAGCTGCTAAGAGTGTTGGTTTACGTGTTCCCCTTCATCCGAAAATGCAAAGACAAAAATCTGAAATTTGAAGTCACTCCGTCACCAGTAGAGTACGATGAGTTTTTTCACAAAATGGTCTAGTTGATCCAGAAAAACGAGTATCAGGAAGACATCGAAAGGGTTCGTAAAGGCACCAGGCTAGGCAGCAGTCTTCAGCGATTGAATCCCTTTATCAATGAAGAAATGGGGACATAGTTAGACTTGTTGCGAGTTGGGGGGCGACTAGTTAACGCTCCTATGTCGTACAATGCCAAGTTTCCGCTGCTGTTGACAAAACGCTCGCAGTTTGTGCAGACCTATGTTCGCTATCTGCATCAAACGAATTTTCATGCGGGCCCACGAGCACTTGTGAGCATCCTTAGGCAGCGTGTTTGGATAGTAAACGCTCAGGAGGTCTGCAGGGCGATGGTCAGGTCGTGCATTCGCTGCTTTTAATGCAAGCCTCGACTCCAGACCCAAATGATTGGAAATCTACCCGCAGACCGGCTCCGTGCTCTCCGCCCATTCGCAGTATGAGGCGTTGATTTTTGTGGCCCAGTCTATACGACACTAAAAATTCGTGGTAGGCCCCCTTATAAGTCCTACATAGCGTTATTTGTCTGTTTTGCGTCCAAGGCGGTTCATCTAGAAATTGTCTCCGATCCAACGACTAACTCCTTCTTATTGGCTTTTCAAAGGTTCGTTGGTCGTCGAGGATGTCCGCTCCGCGTGAAATGCGATAAATTTCGTCGGAGCAAGTCGCCACTTCGACGAGCTGAGGAGGACGATCGAGGCAGAACCGGACGCAATACGCGAGTTCACCTTCCTGCCACCTCGAGCTCCGCACATGGGTGGACTGTGGGAGGCAGGAGTGAAGTCGGCCAAAAACCTCTGCTGAGGTCGGCCGGAAACGCTCTGCTCACCGCTGAGGAGCTGGAGACCGTGATGGTCGGAATCGAGGCCGTGCTCAACTCGCGCCCGATAGGACCCCTAAACCCAGACCCAAGGGACGGAGACGCGCTGACTATCGGACCCCTGCTGACAGGCGACCCGCTCATCGCACCTCCAGCACCACGGACCAGGAGGGTCGAGCTGCTTAAGGCGATGGCGGCATGTCTCGTCAGCAGGCGAATGTTTTAGCAGCGATGGTCCTGGGAGCCCCACAGGCCTTCAACCTCTCTCTCTCTCTCTCGCTTTTGACGAAAATAAGTGGTAAAGTTATTATCGAATCAAGCGCAGGCATATCCCCCTTTATTTTTACTTCTCACCGAATTTAATACAATTAATTGCAGCCACCAAATCTCGGTCTTTTTTTGTATTTGTATACATTAGAATAACTCTTCTAAAATTTCGAAGGTAATTCCCTCAAGAGCAACACCTTATAGTGTGTAAGGAGCCAAAAGGGGGCTGGAGCGATTAAAAGTCATTACTTTGCATTTCGAGGCATTTAGGTGTAACATATTTGCACAACACCATGATTGAAAGTTATTGAGATCGGATTGCAAGCGAGAGTGAAATGAAATGTCCTTATACTGGACACAAAGTTTAACATCATCCGGATACATGAGTACTCGAGAGTCTGTTAATACTGAAGGCAGGTCATTAACAAAGAGTGTGAAAAGTAGGGGGCCTAGATGGCTACCCTGTGGTACTCCAGAAGTAAGTAACAGGTGAAGAGGACTCTTTGAGACCTAGAACGAAGGTAGATAGATACGTGCTGAGATGGAGATTTAAGTGATTTCGATAATTCTTTTGATTTTGCTAATTCTTTTTTTGTTGTGTTTGTTATTTTCAGGAGAAGTTCTTATATAAGAAAAAATTAAGAAAATTTCGCGGAAAATTAAAAAATTTAAGAATACTCGGAAAATGTTAGTATTGTTGTATAAAGTATGCCTTTCCAGGGCTGTCAAACGTTTGTTTGATTTTTTGTATTGTTACAAAATTAAAAAAAAAAAATTTTGTCGGTTTAGAATGCTTATATAGTACAGATGAAATAATCTGTTCAGAATGATTTGGCTAATTGTTTAAAAACAGTTTAAAAGTGCTGAAACAGTCCGGAAAATGTAGAATACATTTTTGATCTGTTTTGAAAATTGTTTTGTGTGATAGATACGTGAGTATTGTCAAATATAATATATATACAGTAGGCTGGGACAAACATTTTTTTTTTTTTTTTGATATTCAAACAGGGCACCCCCTTTATTTTGTTACCTTGCATTTAATAGTAATTTACATGTTTTTATCCGATGATCCTATTGGGCTTTGAGGTGGCTCAGAGGGGGCCTAGCTGAGGCCACCGGACGGGTGGCAGGTTGCGGATAGCGAACGGCCTACCCCAGTGGGTAGGTCAGCTGCGAATAAGCGGGCATCTTAAATCAACTAAGTTGGCTCTGAGGGAGAGTACCGAAATAAGCAGTCCCGGACAGCCAGCGGGTGTTCGCGACGCAGCAACACTGACGATGCGCTTGTGGTGCCGCCTCTCATTAAGTAGCTCACACAATCCCATCCCTACACAACACCTACCCACATCCCAGCCCCAAAACTCACCTCACACCGGGCCGGACTAAGGTGTCACTCGACCCGTGCCAAGAGTCAGCCTGGCTGGGGGCCCGGTATAAAAACTAGCCCAGTCGTGAACGGAGAGCTCAGGGACTTGGCAGCCCCCTGTTCTAATTATGCCTTACCCGGGTAACGCAGAGCTCTGCCGGGGTGGACCGTTCCCCTTCTCTGCAGCACGTGGGAATTATATGGAAAAATTCAATAATATAAACAACAACAAAAACAAAAACGAGAGAGGCACTCCCCAAATGCCTACAGGGAGTAATCCCAAGCGAGAGAAGGCAACGGCCCAAAGGCCTGGCCAAATCCGCTCAGAAGCAGGAAAGACCTGCACGGTGAAGGACGCGGGTATGAATCCGGGTGGGTCCCATCCCAAACCTGGGATGGGTGGAAAGACAACACCCAAAACTGATACCATGGTAGGGCAGCTAAGCAATATTGCGGCTGCTCAACCTTCTGGTGTAGCGGCGGGTGATGGCTTACCATCAACCAGCGTCCAAACCAAAAAATTCAGTTATGCCGAAAAGAGGAGTGCTGGGCACATACTCCGTCGGCAGAACGCAAGCCAGGAAGTCAGTCCAACAGCAGACTGGCTAAAGAAAGTGGAATGGGCCTCGGTGGTGTTGCCCAACTTCAGTATGGAGCCACAGAAGGTGGCCGCCCAACCGAAGAGGCAGCGCTCTCAAGAGACGCCCGGACCTGTCGCGAAGCGATCCAGGGTTATACCGAACGTATCCTTCGCGCAGATTGCCAAGGAGAGGACGCTGATAGGCGTTCTCGACAAAGGCAGCGCGGAGGGGAAAATACCCAGAAGCCAGTGGAAGTGGGTGGAAGCGGCACTGGCCGACCGCTGCTTCGAGCTTCTGGAGAAGGATCCCGGGCCACCCCCAGTCTGCAAAGACATGGGATGGTTCCAGGGGAGCATCAAAGTGGTAGCCTGCGAGGATGAGCGCTCGGTGAGGTCTACGCCGGGGCGAAGCTCGTCGCTGTGGACTGGAGCGAGGTGCCCAGTAGACCAAGGTCCCGTATATGGGTACCGGCCACTTTCAAGGAGCCCGAGCGGATCCTCACGATGTTGCAGAGATGCAACCCCACACTGCCAACCTCAGATTGGAGGGTGGTCAAAGTAGAGGCATCAAAGGGCCCCACAAATCAGGCGGTGGTTGTGCTGAACAAGGAATCGCTAGCCCCGATCGAGGCAGCCAGGGGAGAGCTCAACTTCGGGTTCAGCTCGGTGACCATGAAGGTCTACAAGTCGGATGCAGCGACCGAGGCGCGTTCTGTCAACAACCCAGTTGAGCAGGACGTTGCCTTGGAGATCGAGGCACCCGAAGTAGACCCGGAGCCGGCCCTGGAGAGCTACTCCTCGCAGACGGAGCTGATGCTCGATTTTGAGGCGTTGTGTCGGGACGAGATACTCGACGACTCTGACGCCGACATATAAGTGGTGGAGAACGATTCTAATGAAGTCTCTGAGGCTTCTGCAGATAAATCTCCACCACTGTAAAGCAGCATCCGCTGCCCTGATACTCCGCTTAGTCGCAAGCGGAGGGGACATAGTCCTAATCCAAGAGCCCTGGGTGGTAGGAGGCAGGGTCTGTGGATTAGCGACGAAGGACTACAAGCTGATTGTAGCCCAAACTGAAGGTAAAATTAGAACCTGCATACTAGCAAGAAAGCACCTAAATATCTTTCTGCTCCACAATTTTAGCAATGGCGACAACACGGCGGCTAGCCTAGAGCTACAAGGGACACGCCTGAACCTGGTGTCGTCCTACATGGCTCACGAGGAAAGCGATCCTCCCAGTGACCTCGTTCGCAAGATAGCCAGCGACAGCAAGAGGTCGGATACAAGCCTATGTATAGGCTGCGATGCCAACGCTCACCACACCCAATGTGGGAGCTCGGATACAAATGTAAGGGGTGAGTCACTTTTCAGCTTCATCCTAAACTCCAACCTTATTATTGGTAATCGGGGTAATGACCCCACTTTCATCATAAAAACCATCAAGAGGTTATTGACCTCACTCTATTGTCTCACAAACTGTCAGACATAATGGAAAGTTGGAGAGTCCTAGAGGACCACTCCTTCTCCGACCACAGGTACATCGAGACAATCCTATCGCTCGAAAACACCATACCCACTAGCTATATTAATCCAAGGAAAGCCAACTGGGATATGTATAGTGCAAAAATGGAGGAATTACTCCCCCCCCTAGCACCAAAATGCCCGGACACACAAGACGATCTTAATCGTCTTGTGGACAATTTCACGGAAGCTTGCAACAAGGCCTTCATGGCAGCTTGCCCCCCAACCAAACCAAGATGGAAAAAGAAACCCCCCCTGGTGGTCCAAACATATAGATACCCTCCGGAAAGACTGCAGGACTCTCTTTAACAAAGCCAAAAGCAGCAGCGAGGAAGCGCATTGGGAAAATTACAAAAGTAAGCTAACCCTATACAAAAAAGAAACAAGGAGAGCAAAAAGGGCCTCATGGCACAAATTTTGCTCCGAAATTGAGGACACGTCAGAAGCCGCAAGGCTACGCAAGATCCTGTCAAAAACATCCCCCTCAGTGGGATACCTCAAGAGAACGGATGGTACGTGGACTAACTCTAGTGAGGACTCCCTACACATTCTACTCGATACTCATTTTCCTGGGTGTACGACCATCGAGCCGGCAGACACCCCAAGTGAAGGCCCGGAAACCTCGATGGGGCACATCCTCACAAAACGGAATATTAGCTGGGCAGTAAACAGCTTTAAATCCTACAAATCGCCTGGCCCGGACCAAGTCATTCCGGCTCAGTTGCAAAAAGCCGGGGACATGGCCATCAACTGGCTGCAAAGTATCTTCAGGAAGATACTGACAGTGGGAAAAATCCCCCGTGCTTGGCTAAAGGCTAAAATAGTCTTTATCCCCAAAGCAGGGAAACCCTCACACACAACCCCAAAAGACTTCAGACCAATAAGTCTATCGTCCTTTCTTCTCAAAACCTTTGAGAGACTAGTCGGGCTGCAGCTGAGGACAACTATAAATCCTCAGTGGCTGTCAGGCGCTCAACATGCCTACCGAAAAGGAAAATCCACGGAAACGGCACTCCATGAAGTAATCTCGGCGGTAGAGAAATCTCTAAACGTCAACGAATACTCCTTAATCGCTTTCCTAGACATTGAGGGAGCTTTTAACAACGTCATACCAGGAGCCATCACAGAGGCCCTGACTGACCTGGGAGTGGATCGTCACTTGGTGATGCTCATAGATCAATTTCTCACATGCAGGACAGTGACATCATCAATGGGATCGTCCACTCAGTCTAGGTATGTCAACAGAGGCACCCCGCAAGGTGGTGTCCTGTCTCCCCTTCTATGGAACATAGCAGTCAACAAGATTATGTGTGACCTGGAAGGGGGGGGCTGCAAGGTGGTAGCATACGCGGACGACGTTGCCATTATTTTCTCGGGAAAATTCCCTCAAACACTCTGCGATCTAATGACAGCAAAGCTCGCGCGACTCTCAGAATGGACAGAGTGGCGTGGACTGGGAATCAATCCCTCTAAAACGGAACTTGTATTGTTTACAACCAAATACAAAATCCCGTCCCTCAACCACCCAATACTAAACGGATGTAGGCTCTCCTTCAGCGACAGTGCCAGTTACTTAGGGTTGGTAATTGACAAAAAACTTAGCTGGAACCTGAGCATCAAAGACAGAGCGAAGAAGGCTACGATAGCCCTCTACACTTGCAAGAAAGCCATTGGGCTAAAATGGGTCATGAACCCAAGAATAGTCCAATGGATTTACCTGGCAATAGTTAGACCAATACTACTCTACGGAGTCGCAGTGTGGTGGCCTGCCCTATCGAAGGGGACCATCACTAAACAACTGGGCAAGGTGCAGCGCACTGCAGCCCTATGCATCAGTGGAGCTCTAAGCACAACACCAACGGATGCGCTAAATGCTATCCTATGCTTGCAGAGCCTTGACCTTGCAGGTAAGGAGCAGGCAGAAATGGCAGCAATCCGTCTTAGAGACTCTGACCAATGGGTGTCACATCACACCGGTCATGCGTCCATCCTAAATGGAAACAAAATCGTCCCCACAAAAACGGACTACTGCGTTCCGAGGGAGTATACAGATACCCCCTTCGAAACAATCATCCCTCACAGAAACATCTGGCTTGAGGGACCACCTGGTCCAAAGGGAGCCATTCGAATCTTTACTGATGGCTCAAAGCTGGACAACAAGGTCGGAGGAGGAATCTACTCCGAACAGCTGAACATAAGACAGTCCTTCAGGCTCCCGGATCACTGCAGTGTCTTCCAAGCGGAAGTCATAGCGATCAAGGAGGCTTTGAGCTGTCTTCAGGAAATAGCCCCTGCGGCAACTCATATAAATATCTACAGTGATAGCCAAGCTGCGATCAAATCGCTGAATGCGATAACAACAAGCTCGGCCACCGTGGCAAACTGTCGCAAATCTCTTCATGAGATGGCTTATCAGTTCGTCATCAGCCTAATATGGGTCCCGGGCCACCAGGACATTGAAGGCAACTGCATAGCGGACGAGCTGGCCAGAGCTGGCACAACAATCCCCCTTCTCCATGATAAGGAGGATATTCGTATGCCAATGGCCACCTGCAAGCTCAAAATAAAAGAACATTTTAAGCGATTAATAAATGACAGATGGCAAACCGTGTCACTATGTCGCATAACTCGGCAAACATGGCCTAACATTATTAGGAAGCGCACCGATGAGCTTTGCAAACTCAGTAGGAGTAGGTGCAGCTCAGTCATACGCTCCCTCACGGGACACTGGCTAATAGGCACACATGCAAGCAGGCTGGGCGCCCCATATAACGACTTCTGTCGAAGCTGTAGAGATGAGGACGAGGAGGAGACTGTGGAACACCTGTTCTGCTCCTGTCCGGCTCTCAGTAGAAGGAGACTGCAATACTTGGGAGCTCCTTTTCTAATTGACATTTCGGACATGTCTACAATCAGTCCCAGACGGATCGCAGGCTTCATAAGGGCATCCGGATGGGATAATGGATAACATAGGGTCTCACGAGGGAGAAGGGAACGTAATATGCGGTATCACAACGGGCCGAAACCGGCCTAGGTGTGTCGGGTCTCTGACAACCCCGACAGCCGCTTCAACCTAACCTAACCTACATGTTTTTATTTTTATTTTTTTTTATTTTTTAGAGGTTGCTACTAGAGATCTGCATGAATTATAAAAAACAGCCATTCGAATTAACAATGCTCAAAATGAATTGAGGGAATTCGAATGCTATGTCAACAGAGTTTGAGTGAGTTAGTGCGCTGACGTACAGTACACACAACATTGAAACGACAAGGCACGAATTGAATTAGTGAGAGTGAGGGCAGTTTCCGAATTCATTCGGAATTATGCTTTTCAGTATTCATATTTGTGTACGTAAGGGAAGCAAAAGAAGCAAGGAGAATAAAGAAAATAAGGCATAGCAACGTAGTTTTTGTACAGTTTTTATTTAAACTAAGTTGGCATGAAGAAAAAGAATTTTGTTTATATTTTCTGGATTGGTTATTATCTGCAACGCTTTTCGGTGATCAATTTTTTGGCATCTGAAAAAGCTCTTTCAGAAGCCGCACTACTCGCTGGTATGCAAAATATTTTGCAGCTTTTTTAATGCAACAGGGGGAAAACATCTTTGTAAAAATTCCACCACTTTGACCAAACAGTCAAAGTCGGGTGTGTATATTACGTTAGTGTTGCTATATCCTATGCATAGAGTGCACGGCAAAAATTCGAGATATGTGAATTTCTCAGTCTCTGCCATTTCGTTTTGTGCACTACTTCATTCTAACTCATACAACCGAATGTTGAAAAGTCCCTGCAGTTCTGGCTGTCACGGCATGAAAGTGTCTTAGGAAAAATTGTTCGGGCTCGGCGTCGACAAAGGCAGCGACGTCGACGTCAGCATGAAATTCTGACCAGCTTCAACTGCTGCAGATCGAAGCGGACACGTAAGAAAGAGAAGCAGATATCCATAGATTTCCCTCTCTCTCATATTTTTAGTTTTCTCTACCTGCATTCCACCCTAACTCTTCTACTCTCGAGCATTTCGTCTCCTCAAAGGGATGAGGGGAGAAAAACCGATTATTTGGTGCAATCTTTTGTTGCGAGCGGCTGTGATTTTTTTGAGTTGAGCGTCTATTTACATGTTTTTTTTTTTTTAAAGTGGTTTTTCAGTGTTTTTAAAGTCAGGTAAGTGGATGCAGTGATTACAGTGCGCGTTGTTAGTTAAATTAAATTTCTACATGGGTTTCGCAAGAACAAATATGTTTAGACTCTAGAACATTCAAGCGGTGTGGTCCCGTTAACCATGTGCGTCGCTGCGCGTGTTTGTTTTTGCTCGAGGAAACCCATGTAACTGCAAATACAGCATTTTTAATTAAAAAATATATATGTACAAATTGACTTATTTATTTACAGATCAAAACATTTCTGAAGTTGCTGGAGAAGGACCCATTGCCTTAAAAATTTGCTGGACGAAAAAGTAGTCCTGGAGTAATTGTTTAAAATGCCTCAAAGGTAAAATCAAATTTCATATGTGTATTGCTTTATAAAAATCAGAACATAACTCAGAAGTTAGTTCAGAAAATATTACCTTCCGTGGCTAAATATTTTTTGTTTTTTTATATCATTTCAGGAGCATTGGTGCTTATTAACCCGATCGAGTCGGTTAAGGAAGGCCCTACAGATAATTAAAAATAATTAAATCAATGAAAAATCTATAAAATATGTGTTAAATAAATATATTTACTTTTATTTGAATGAAGTGTTTAAAGAAATTTTTGGGTGGCTTTCACATTTGAAATTATCCGTTAAATTCCGTTAAATTTAATTAGAAGTCTCACAGGTGATTTCATATAGGACATTTTCGGAAGTTTCCCGAGTGAAATCACTCGTGGCATGTCCCGAGTGAAATCACTCATGGCATGTCCCGAGTGATTTCACTCATGGCTTATACGTACAAGCCACCGGTGAAATCACTAGAAAATTCAGTGACAATTTCATATGAAGTTTCACGAGTGACAAAAGCGGACATGTCCATACAAATTTCATCTGGAGTTTCGACAACGAGTCGCCAGTGGCAGAGGACATGCCATGAGTGATTCACCGAATGAATCACGAGTGAAAACTGACTTTTGGAACTGCAGGGGTGTGAAACACACACACACTCCCATTCGTATGAACTCAATTCATTGTGTGTGTATCACTCACTCAACTCAATTCAATTCGAATGGATTCTATTGGAATTTTTTTTAATGGAGTTACGCAGATCTCTAGTTGCTACCGAACTAAAAAAAAATGTTAATCAAGAAATTTAAAAAAAAATTTTTCTGAATGAGTTTTTTTCAAATAATATTGAAACTTAGAAAGTAGTTCATATTGATAATAAGGTATTTTTATTTTTGTTTTTAGTTACTGTTAAAACATTAACGATTGGTGAAAATCAAGAAGTTCAGCTGAGGTTGATATGTTTGGTTAACTAGTTCGCAAAAACTTGTGCAGGTTTTTTACTGCCAATAACTGATTAATGACGATATGAATGGTATCAATATATATGCAATAGATTTCACCAATTATCCAACTCATTCGTCTATATTTTTATTTTATAATTTTCTTAATAAAAAAAAAAAAAAATAAATAAAATAAAAACATGTAAATTACTATTGAATCCAAGGTAACAAAACTGGGGGGCGTCCCGTTTGAATTTCGAAAAAAAAAGTTTTTTGGCCCAGCCTACTGGTCAACCAAGCAAAGCATGTGTTGACATTTTTTAAATCGGTACGATGGCATTGGCATTCTTTGAACAACTTTATTTATTAGTATCTTGTTTTGTTAAGAATGTCTGATAACTTAAGATACTTAAGTTATGTGAAAAATAGAAGCACTACATCTGAAAAAAAAAACATTAAAAAAATACCAGATTTTAAAAAATTCTTTAAAAGACGAGAAGGAACGTGCGAGTCGCTTCTGGGGACGCGACTCTACTTATACCCATACTCAGTCAGTATATACACTTTTGAGCATATAATTTTTTAGAATTTTAAAATATACAAAAAAAATTTGCTACATCTGCTATCTACAATGTATATTATACATCTAACATGTAGATTGTACATGTTCCATTTAGATTCTACATCTCCTCCGCTAGGGGTTGCTCGCACACTGAACGCGGCAGAGTGTGCGAGCGAGAAAGAGAATCAGTAGCGTGTTTCATGCAGGGGGAGACGGGGGAAGCAACTGAAAATGAATTTCTTCATTCTGGCTATAATTATGATCCGATCTGATTCAGATTCGGCAATCTGGTAGATATGGTCATTCTCTACGATACTGCGTTTTAGTTTTATCGTATCTTTAAAAATGTGCCTGCCACAGATTTTCGTACTTTGTGGGGGCGGAAGGGGGCGGGGCGAAATTTTGAAATGTAGCAGTGTGATATAACATGAGTCTGGAAACAAAATTTGGTTGCTCTAGCTTTTTTAGTCTCTGAGATACAGGCGCTCATCAAGACGGACGGACGGACAGACGGACATGGCTATATCGACTCGGCTATTGATGCTGATCAAGAATATATATACTTTATGGGGTCGGAAACGTTTCCTTCTCTGCGTTGCACACATCCACTCTTACCACAGATCTAATATACCCCTTAATATTTTTTTGAGTACGGGTATAAAAACCGACATTAAACTAAAAATTTGAAAAAAAAATTGTATAATATTATTGAATAAGAAAGAGCAGAATTGGGGGGTGTCCCCTTGAAAAAACAAATTTTTTGTTCAAATTTTGGCCCAGCCTAATATACAGATTAATAAAGATGCTGCACAAGAAGATGGTTTTCAAATATGAATGAGGAAGAACGGGAATTCGTACGAGAGATAATAACATTAAGCATCCATATGCGTAGCGGGAGACGGACTGGCAGTCCATCAACTGAAGATGCCGGAAACGGGAATGGAATTTGTGTATTTTATACCCTCTAATTACACTACTTGACAAAACCGACCAAACCGACAAGTCCAAACCGACTTTTTCTGATAGATATGGGGCTTTAAATTTTTTTAAAGCTTTATTCCAATTGGGAACATAGCAAACGAAAAGGGTTGTACATTTGGTACCTGATCGCGATCCCAAATCCCAATTGGCTGTTGGGACCGCAACTTTCCAAAAGGTATTTTTTGTTAAATTTCATTTTTTAAGTTTGGTTAAAGAATTTTAGATTCTCTCTCCATAGATTTTAATGAGCGATACCTTAAACGACGCCAAATTAATGCACCTATACACAAAAAAAATAGAGGACACAGGATATTTTTTTCGACTTTTCCTGAGTTTTTAAGTCAAAATTTCGTAAAAAATACTGCACAAAAATCATCATTTTTGAATTTCAATGCTTTATATCAGTGATGGGCACGAAAACTAACGGAAAGAGCCAGCCAGAAAAAACAAAGAAAACAACCCCCGTCGCGACGCTTCGCAGTCATGAGCCAGACAGAATGGGCGAGCAAAGTGAATACACTTTGTTGTTGCTCTGATTTTCATGTGCGTAGCCCAAGACACATGATGTGTTGTTGCAATCTCGAGATCGCGCCTTCGAAGCATTTTTGCCGTCTCTTTGACGCCAAATTTCTGTGGCATTGTTTTTGTAAAAATTCACGGATCGCTGAACGCGAGCGACGACCGTCTGAGCCGACTTGCTGGCGCCTCCCGAAAAACATTTTGGAAAGAGCCGCGGGAGCTGAAAGAGCCACAGCGTGCCCATCTCTGCTTTATATTTCCCAGACGGTAAGCTGAAATCACAAAGTGTAAACTTCTAGCTGTTTTAATTATCTTTTCAAAACAGCAAAGTTCTTTACAACCAGACGTAAGGTACTAGAGTTATGTGAAAACAAGCGCTACCTCTGAAGAAAGCTTTTAAAAAAATACCAGTTTTCAAAAATTCTTTAAAAAAAGTTCTGCCATAGAAAAAAAAAATATCATCAAACCATTTCTAAGCCCCAAATCTTTAAGAAAGAGTTGGTTTTGTTCCTTGAGGAAAAATCGTGTCGGGCATATATGTATATATACATTTTTAGAAAAAAATCTGTGTGTAAGGGGCAATCTCGGTCGCACGCGTTGCGTAATTGATTGCGGTTTTTTCTTTAATGATAGCCAGAGTATATGACATGGTTTGCATAATGAAATTTTTACTTTTCTATAAATAGGTTACACAGAAAATTAAAAATGAATAAAAAAAAAAAGTGTGGTTTTTAATTTGGGGTTGCGAACGTCGTGAAAGTAACCAAGACATTCCATTCCAAGGTCCCGTTCAGATCAACGGAACAATGATGCAACAACAACTGCAAATGAACGTCATGATATATAAAATCTACAAGGTGATGAAATTGTACAGATGGCAAAAAAATAATATTTTTTTATCGCACAGAATTTCAATAAATAAATATGTTATTACATCAAAATTATCATTGTATAAATTAGTGAGCAGCGAAGCTCGAGGGTCTGCTAGTACGACAGAAATGTGTTTTTATTAGTATGGGGGCAAAAAGAAGGCATGGTCCAAAAGACTAAATTTTCTCTCCGAAATTCTAAAAATAAAATAGACTAAATTTTATTTTTAGAACAAATGCCAACATTTTTTCGAAAAGGGCAATGGATAGTTTTGCTTCTACAGCTCAAAAGCTTTGAATATCAACTGTTCACAATAATAGATATGTGGAATCAATTCACAATAAACGTCAAAATAAGAATTCATAATGGTTGCAAGTCTGAGGATGTTTGATTTTGAGTAGTATCGCTTTAAACAAGTGCGACAGCTATTAATAGCCACCCTGTAAGCTGTTCTATAGCGTACCAATATGTTGTATCTCGACGTCAGTGATATCACAGTTTCAAGTGTTCCGCTCCACAAGAGACGAACATCTGTGGCATCCACAGTTTTAAATATACTAAATAACCTGACAACGCAGAATTGTAGAGTATAACCATATTTCCTTTATTGCCGAATATGGAGCAGATCATATCATTATTATAGCCTCTTCTTCACTATTCCTTGTGCACTCTTCTTGTCTTTTACCACCTCTGGTGGAATAAAGCAAGATAGAACGGCTGGTGTTGGTGTGAGAGGAGGGTTTGCAAAAAAAAAAATGGAAATAGATAAAATATTTAAAAAATCGAATAATATAAGAGAGGATAAAAGAACTGCAACAACTAACATTAGAGCATAACTAGAGGTCATTCTGTCCATGTTTTTCGCCTCCCGCATAAAAAAGCGAGCAAGGGAACGAGATAAAATGTCATTGCTGTTGTAACAACTACTTCTAATAACATTACACGGATGACAGTATCAAAGGCTAAAAAACCCCCGATGTAACGCAATTTCTCAAGAAAATCAGAAACTATTATTAGCTACAAAAAGTGTCATTTTACTCAAAAATTCTAAGGTATGGGTATATGAGGTATATGGTGTATGAGCTCAGAAGAAAAGATGCAGGAAAAATGTGACTAGCAAAACCTTTAACCCATACACGAACAGTACGTGTGAAAGCACACACATATTTACGTAGCCTAGAACCTCAAGACAAACCCGGTTTCGGGACATAAGAATTGTAAAAGCATACAATCATAATTGTTGTGTGTTTGCGTACACACACGTTTGCGCGAGTTCCCCTGTAGTACTGGCGGTGGCGATTGCCCCTGCCAAACTACCTACTTCGCTGGTCCGTACATGGGTACCCACCGAAGTAACCATATGGTAGGCGAAGGCGGAACCACTCAAAGAGTAGAAAAATTTACTCTGTATACTTTAAAACCCACCGCGTACCACCCAGCGAACTAGTTCGATGGGCTGCAACGTCTCACCAGTAGCCGAAAAAAACGAAACAAAAGAAGAAAGAAGCCAAAAATGAAGATGCGCTGCGTCTACGGAGCAGAGCGCTGCTACGTTTTCGTTTTTTGACATTGCATTGCTGGAATGTTATATTGCTTTCGGCTGTACTTGTTGAGACGCGCTTGTGAGTTCCAGTGAAAAAAGTGAAAAAGTGAACATTAATCAATTCAATTATTTAAACAATTATTTGTCTTGAAGACAAAGCAACCTAAGCAACCTTAACGTAGATCATAGAAGGAAACTAGCGATAAATATGTCAAAAAAATAAAACTTGTGAGGGCAGAGACAGTGTCGTCCAGTGAAATAGAAAAAATTGAGGACAGTGAAACAAATAATGTAGAGGAATTGCAAATCGGAGACATTGCAAATGAAATGGAAGTGATAAAAACGGAAATTTTATGGTTTATTCTAATTGTGTTTTTACAGATTGATGCTCTTGATGCAATAAAAACTATTATCCTGCCGGTATTTAAAAAAATTTAAATATTCTTGCTAATGCAATTGTGTTAGCCTATAACGTGGATGAAGTGAAAGCCAAGTCGGGGTGAAAGATCTTAAGAACTTGTATGGAGTGTTGCTTGGTATGCATATCTGTTTGTCTTTCTAATTTAAATTTTCCTGCCTTTTAATATTTACTTAAATTTTATATTTATAGATGCTATAACTGTAGAGGCAGGCCCTGGATCAGCGGATATACAACTAAGAAAAGCTCTTCAGCTGCAAAAAAAAGGCCATTTCAAAAATATAAAAGCAACAGTAACAACATAAAAATAATTAAACTAATAACTGAAAATACTGAAATTTAAAAACAAGGAAATTAGAAAAATAAAATAGATAAAATTGTTAACTGCACGAGTTTTTCTAATTGTGGGTATGGTACCCATTTCATTACCCCTTAGATTCACTACCTACCAGATGGGTACCCATTTCACTAGCTACCAGGTGGGTACCAATTTCACTACCGCTTAGATTGGTATCCATTTCACTAGTTCGGGGGTAAACGATGTGGTGTCGCTGGTTCCCATGCCCTAGGACATTGAGGGTAAAAATGGAAATGAAGAATAGCATTGCTTAGGGTTTGTCCAGTGGGTAGTGGTGGTTTGTTAGGGACGGGTCATATCACCACCTCCGAACTAGTGCCCAGTACTACAGGGTCAGTTCGCAACGAACATGACGACACATGTTCGTCACGAGCCGATTATATGAGCCATATGTATGAACTAGCACATCTACATATATACTTCATGGTTAGTGGCATAAGTAATAAATAAGTTTCCGAATAATAAAATCTCTACAGGTTTTGGAAAAGGTATCGAAAGAAACTAAAAAAAATAGAGTCTTCTGTGACACCCGGAATATTAGTTCATCGACTTAATCCATACACGAAATTCATATTTCCAAGCGTGATATGAAAGTTTCATTTTTTAGTTGGGTTATATTTATTCCAAGCTATTCGCATTTCTAAACAGTGGCGGATATTTGATTGAGTCTCCTATTAGAATTTTTGTTTACGAACACACGTATAGTAATCCAAACCTATTAAAATAATTTATTATGAGCAGAAAATAGGAAGTCCAGGTTAAAGAATAAAGTAAAGGATAAATATAAAAGATTGTGTCTATCTGAAAAAATTAAAACTAGACTCAACATATTTGATTCATTTAATATCTTACCTCCACAACCACCACACACTTTAATTAGAGAGTTAGGATGAATTAACTGATGATTATTAAAATCGTTTGACGATTCGTCCATGAACGATAAATGGGACGAAGAAATATTTGAGCTGGTCTCGACAATATCCTTATTGTTGGCAATATTTCTATAACCAATAACTACGGGAGCAAAATTTTCCGGACTTGAGGAATCTTGGGGATGTGCCACTAGTATATCTCTAAATGAATGGAACGATGCATTCATTGCAAAAAGTACGTTAATGACTTAGATTGTTAGGGTCATATGTCCTGTTTATAGTTTTAACCTGCAAATATGTAAGAAAAAAATAAATATATTAAAGAAATGTTGTCTGAATACATGTTACTACCCACATCAGGAAACTGAATAAAAGCCATACGATTTGATGTGGTATACCATCCAGAGCTTTTTTGAAAGTCAAATGACGTGAAAAATTTTAAAAAGCGGGCAAGGGGAATTCCACATTTTTTACGTTTAGTGTGGTTTTTTTCAGATTTTATTTAAATTGGCATTTGTCGTTTCTTATTTGTCGATAGTTTTGATCGATTATTGTTATTGCAAAAGCCATATCACAGCAAAACTGTACGATTTACATGCCAATGCCGCGAGTGCTGTCGGTGACAAAATAAACGAGAAGGAACGTGTGAGTCGCTTCTAGGAACGCGACTCTACTTATACCCGTACTCAGTCAGTATATACATTTTTGAGCTTATAATTTTTTAATTTTTTAGAATTAAAAAAAAAATTTTACATTTTACATCTTTTATCTACATCTACAATGCATATACACTGACGAGCAAAACTGTAACACTAATTCTGTACTCTCACTTCAACGGTCTGTAGATTGTCTTCTGTTTTATTCATTCTAAAGATCTTAGTCTTGTTTTGTTGTTGAATCATTTAACTAGTGTTTTTGAAAATTTGAAGCCATTTGATACGCCGGAAGAAATTTGGAAAACCAAAATGTAAAATAAGTCAAATGTTACAGTTTTGCACTGCGGCTATATTTTAAACAAATAATTTTATGAATAATTTTTATACCCGTACTCAAAAAAGAGTTAATGGGTATATTAGATTTGTGGTAAAAGTGGATGTGTGTAACGCAGAGAAGGAAACGTTTCCAACCTCATAAAGTATATATATTCTTGATCAGCAGCAATAGCCGAGTCGATATTGCCATGTCTGTCTGTCTGTCTCGATGAGCGCCTAGATCTCAGAGACTATAAGAGCCAGGGCAACCAAATTTGGTTTTCAGACTTATGTGATATCCCACTGCAACAAATGTATTTCAAAATTTCGCCCCGCCCCCACAAAGGACGAAAATCTGTGGCAGGCACATTTTTAAAGATACGATAAAACTAAAACGCAGTATCGTAGAGAATGACCATATCTACCAGATTGCCGAATCTGAATTAGATCGGATCATAATTATAGCCAGAATGAAGAAATTCATTTTCAGTTGCTTCCCCCGTCTCCCCCTGCATGAAACACGCTACTGATTCTCTTTCTCGCTCGCACACTCTGCCGCGTTCAGTGCGGGAGCAACCCCTAGCGGAGGAGATGTAGAATCTAAATGGAACATGTACAATCTACATGTTAGATGTAGAATATACATTGTAGATGTAGATAGCAGATGTAGTAAAAACATGTAAATTTTTTTTTTTTATATTTTAAAATTCTAAAAAATTATATGCTCAAAAGTGTATATACTGACTGAGTACGGGTATAAGTAGAGTCGCGTCCCCAGAAGCGACTCACACGTTCCTTCTCGTTTAATAATGTGTCCACAGCCCTTTTAATTTTTTTAGTTCTCTTATGCGATTTGCCATTTTGTGGATGTAGAGTTGCATCATTGCAGGTTGAATAGCGTACCATACATCCTTTTCCTCTCCCACAACTCCATCATTGCACTTGGAGAGACCGCATATAGCAGCATAGAGCAAAAACACCCCCAAACCATAATTGAACCGCCACCGTCCTTGACGCTGACTTTAAGTTGGGTTTGGTGACTGGTGACTGGATTGTGGGATAAGTTTATATGGTTTAGATAAAACAAAAATTAATCGTTTTGAGTCAGACACTCCTGGTATTGGACTAGAGATCCCAATATCCAGTTCCCAAGTACTGTGCGGCAATCCGTTAAGCACGGTTGTGGCTCAATCATGGTTTGGGGCTGTATACATACAAATAGAGTTGGTCCTTTGATATTAATTGATGGCATGATGCGAAAAGAGCATTATTTAAACATTCTGCAACAGAATCTGCCAGATGCGACCGGGAACATGGGTCTTGCTGCCGAAAAATGTATTTTTCAGCAAGACAATGACCCAAAGCACACGTCTATTTTGGTAAAAAATTGGATATTGAAGCAAAAATTTCAATGTATGAAGTGGCCACCACAATCTCCAGACATGAACCCAATTGAAAATTTATGGAGCCATGTCAAATCGCAGCTGGCGAAATATGCGATCCCTCTAACTGGAATGAGGGAGCTGTGGGAGAGGACAAAGGACGTTTAGTACTCTATACACCCTGAATTCTTAAAAAAAATACCAGACCGAAAATTGCTCCTAAAGGCAATCAGAAACGAATTTAAGGGAAAGGCAAACGAAGCTATTATTGCATCAGGTGCAACTCTAAATTGGGATGAAATAAAATCTGCATTAATGTTATTGTTATTGGTATTGAGCTGAAAAACGCGACGAGTGTACTCTAATGCGTGAACTCCATAATCTCAGTCAAATAAGATTGCCGATGCAAAGGTTTTATGAAAGGATTTGCGAAATCAAAATAGCAAGACCGAGACCAACGAACTGGAACCACTTCGAATACAAAAAAAAAAAAATTATTTTCAACCACATGTCTAAACATTTTCCTGACAGGACTGTAAGGTCCACTAGGGTCCACAGGAACCAGCAACCTGAAACATTAACAGAGGCATACGAGAAGGCCCTAATGGAAAGAGAGATTTTTTTTTAGGAAAATAGTCAAAATAAAGATTGGCGACGGAATAAACATAACGACCGTTCATCATATCGAACAGTACCATACCACACCATTAACAGAAAATACAGAAATGACAATGATAGAATATTAGCAACAATTTTCGCTCAATAATCAATAAGAACGTTCCGGCAATTATGCCAAAAGAATATAATAATAACTATCAGCGCTACAACGGGAATGACATCTGTCTGGTTTCCCAACCTGAAATTCACCAACAAGTTCCTAAATAATAGCCAGTGGCGCAAAATAACGAAATTCCAACATTGTTTGCTATTTACATTGCCCACTGCATATAAATATTGTAACCGCTTATAATTACTCACGGCAGCGGCCGTTCTTTCGCTTCTTTATATCTCCTTCTTCATTTTCTACTGCAGCTGCAGCATCTATGCTGCTCTCTCGCATTCTCTCTCTCTATCTATCGCTCGTACTCGGCTCAGCAGCAGCCCGAGCTTCCATTGCTTCTTTCGTTCTCTATCTCGCTTGCATTAGGGCACGGGCAATTCCGTCCGCCTGCCCTCTTTTAGTATTTAATTGATCGTCATCATTATCGCACTCACGTTCTACCGTCTTGATCTTGCAATCACTTGCACATTGTAGTGAGCGCTTGTAGAAAGTCTAGGAAAGGGTTTTGTTAGTGCCTGAAAGTAGGCAATATCGTTTTCGCGCTAGCCAGGTACTGGTAATAATACTACTCGACAATATCGAACTTTTTTTTCCTCAAGGATCCAAACCAACTTTTTCTGATAGATATGGGACTTTACTTTTTGTTACTTTTTTTTGAAGAATTTTTGAAGTCTGGTATTTTTTTTCAAATCTTTTTTCAGAGGTAGCGCTTCTTGTTTTCACATAACTCTAGTATCATACGTCTGGTTGTAAAGCACTTTGCTATTTTGAAAAGATAATTAAGACGGCTAAAAGCAAACACTTTGTGATTTCAGCTTACCGTCTGGGAAATATAAAGCTTTGAAATGCAAAAATTATGATTTTTGTGCGGTATTTTTTACGAAATTGTGACTTAAAAAATTCAGGAAAAGTCGAAAAAAAATTATATCCCGTGTTCTCTATTTTTTTCTTAATTTTTTGGGTTTGGTTAACGAATTTTAGCTCCAAAGTTTCTCCATAGATTTTAATGAGCAATACCTTAAACGACGCCTAATTAATGCACCTATACACAAAAGGGTGAATGACGAAATATCGGGTCAAAGGAAGATCCGGAGAACCCGCATTTTTCACAGTCAGTAGTCTAGTCTAGTATTTCTTTCTGCACGTGGCGGACCAAGAGTCAAGTTGTATTTCCTCACAAAATAGCTGAAAATAGCTGTGATATCACATGAGTCTGAAAACCCAATTTTGTTTGACCTAGCTCTTACAGTCTCTGAGATCTAGGCGCTCAACAAGACGGACAGACAGACAGACGAACAGATGGACGGACATGGCTATATCGACTCGGCTATTGATGCTGATCATGAATATATATACTTTATGGGGTCGGAAAAGTTTCCTTCTCTGCGTTGCACACATCCACTTTTACCACAAATCTAATATACCCCTGAACTCCTCGAGTATTATCAAAATGAACTAGTTTATAAGTTTCAATATTATTTGAAAAAACCGACGAATTTATGTTTTAAAAATATATATTTAACCCAAATGTAGGTTTCTTTTTGTGGTAGCAAGCCCTACATTACACTTAACATTTAAAAAAAAAATTGTGTAATTTTATTTACTGACAAAAAAAAGAAGTAAAGGAAAGTCCGCTTCCAAAAAAAAATTTTATAATTTTTTGGCCCAGCTACGATAAAACTAAAAACGCAGTATCGTAGAGAATACCCATATCTACCAGATTGCCGAATCTAAATCAGATCAGATTATAATTATAGCCAGAATGAAGAAATTAATTTTCTGTTGCTTTCCCCGCCCCATCCAGGAAGAAAACCGACCACTCATTCTCTTTCTCGCTCGCACACTCTACCGCGTTCAGTGCGCGAGCAACCCCTTGCGGAGGAGATGTAGAATATAAATGGTACATGTATAATCTACATGTTAGATGTAGAATATACATAGTATACATAAGTAGATGTAGATAACAGATGTAGTAAAAAAAATGTAAAATGTAAAAATTTTTTTTTTTTAATTCTAAAAAATTATAAGTTTAAAAATGTATATACTGACTGAGTACGGGTATAAGTAGAGTCGCGTCCCCAGAAGCGACTCACACGTTCCTTCTCGTTTTTTATATGTATATGTTAACTGACCATTTGATCAATATACACACAT